ATGAGTCGGAGCACAGAGTGAAGGAAAAGCAGCCAACAAGTGCTCAGCCTTCAAGACTGTTGGAAAAGCATTCCAGGTGAAGCTGGTTGAGAGAATGCAAAGAGTGTGCAAAGCTGTCATCAAGGCAAAGGGTGGCTATTTGAAGAAACTGAAATATAAAATATATTTTGATTTGTTTAACACTTTTTTGGTTACTACATTTAACGAGCCATCCCCTCGCCTGGAATACCCTGTGCTGTAGTGTACAAAAGCCATCTTAATGACTCTACTCAGACACACTCTGGCCTCTGTGTAGGTTTATACAGGTCTCTGAGTTGTTTCCCCTTTTCCCGTAAAGCACCAATCTGCTGAGTATTAATAGGTTGATTAGTAGCTCTTTGACCAACAGGTATAAGTTAATTGGCCAGAGCAGAGGACACCGGGTAGACACTAAAGGAGGGAGGGAAAGAGAAAGAGGTGGAACTCTCCTCACTGAGGTCTTTGAGTTCTCTCTGGCACTGGCCACTCGTTCTCTCTCTTTCTCTCCCTCCCGCCCGCCCTCCCTCCTTCCTTCACACTATTCTGTGATAGCGTCACCTCCCTCGAAATGTTATTTCCCAGAGCCAGGCTGCAGTAAAGTAGAGGCTGCTGTTGTGCAACAAATTCTTCTCCAGGACCACAGCCCACTAACTCTACACAGCTACACACAGACTGTAACTGAGGTCTATGGTGTCTTGTGCACAAGCTTCAGTCGTAAGCTACCTAAGGAGCAATAAAGAGACCAGGGCCCGAATCCACACAGCATCTCAGAGTAGGAGTGCTGATCCAGGATCAGTGTTGCCTTTTAGATCATAATGCATAAGATTATATGGACAGATCCTAGATCAGGACTTCTACACTGAGATGCTTTGTGGATACGGGCCCTGCACAGCATAAAAGGGAAAAGTGGGTTACCAGTCCAATAAAATAAAATAAAATAAAAAAACCTGGTCACAAGAAAACGTGTACAACTTTCTGTGGCCCCCAGTCCTGGCCTGGACCCCAGACTAGAGGGGGGTAGTTCGAAGAGGAGGGGTGCTGATGTGTTCTCTTCCGGCCCCCTCTAGCCTGCTGCTAAACACTCCAGGAAACAAAATCCCCCTGATCTTATTTCCTGACCTGGCTTGTAACTTGGCTGGATCGCTCCACACTCACAGCATGGCAACCTCATGTTTTATAACTGTATCTAGCCAGGGTTACACACTACTGCTGATTAGGACCTACAGTGGCAATAACAAGTATGTGAACCCTTTGGAATGACCTGGATTTCTGCATAAATTGGTCATAAAATTTGATCTGATCTTCATCCAAGTCACAACAATAGACAAAAAGTCTGCTTAAACTAACAACACACAAATTATTGTATTTTTCTTGTCTATATTGAATACATCATTTAAACATTCACAGTGTAGGTTGGAAAAGTATGTGAACCCCTAGTATGTGAACCCCTAGGCTGGATTCAGCTAACCTGGAATCCAATCAATGAGACGAGATTGGATATGTTGGTTAGAGCTGCCCTGCCCTATAAAAAAACTCACAAAATTTGAGTTTGCTATTCACAAGAAGCATTGCCTGATATGAACCATGCCTCGTACAAAAGAGTTCTCAGAAGACCTAAGATTAAGAATTGTTGACTTGCATAAAGCTGGATAGGGTTACAAAAGTATCTCTAAAAGCCTTGATGTTCATCAGTCCATGGTAAGACAAATTGTCTATAAATGGAGAAAGTTCAGCACTGTTGCTACTCTCCCTAGGAGTGGCCATCCTGCAAAGATGACTGCAAGAGCACAGCGCAGAATGCAAAATGAGGTTAAGAAGAATCCTAGAGTGTCAGCTAAAGACTTACAGAAATCTCTGGAACATATCTGTTGACGAGTCTACGATACGTAAAATACTAAACAAGAATGGTGTGCATGGGAGAACACCACGGAAGAAGCCACTGCTGTCCAAAAAAAACATTGCTGCACGTCTGAAGTTCGCAAAAGAGCACCTGGATGTTCCACAGCGCTACTGGCAAAAATATTCTGTGGACAGATAAAACTAACGTTGAGTTGTTTGGAAGGAACACACAACACTATGTGTGAAGAAAAAAAGGCACAGCACACCAACATCAAAACCTCATCCCAACTGTAAAGTATGGTGGAGGGAGCATCATGGTTTGCGGCTGCCTCAGAGCCTGGACAGCTTGCTATCATCAACGGAAAAATGAATTCCCAAGTTTATCAAGACATTTTGCAGGAGAATGTAAGGCTATCTGTCTGCCAATTGAAGCTCAACAGAAGTTGGGTGATGCAACAGGACAACGACCCAAAACACAGAAATAAATCAACAACAGAATGGCTTCAACAGAAGAAAATACGCCATCTGGAGTGGCCCAGTCAGAGTCCTGACCTCAACCCGATTCAGATGCTATGGCATGACCTCAAGAGAGCGGTTCACACCAGACATCCCAAGAATATTGCTGAACTGAAACAGTTTTGTAAAGAGGAATGGTCCAAAATTCCTTCTGACCGTTGTGCAGGTCTGATCTGCAACTACAGAAAATGTTTGGTTCAGTTTATTGCTGCCAAAGGAGGGCCAACCGGTTAATAAATCCAAGGGTTCACATACTTTTTCCACCCTGCACTGTGAATGTTTACACGGTGTGTTCAATAAAGCCATGAAAACGTATCATTGTGTGTGTGTTATTAGTTTAAGCAGACTGTGTTTGCCTATTGTTGTGACTTATCCAGGTAATTCCAAAGGGTTCACATACTTTTTCTTGCCACTGTATACTATTGTGTAATATGGTTACATCTCTTCATTTGGGAAGATAATGAGGAAAATTCTACTCTGCTAAACTTTGTCCTACCTGTGCTAGTGTGTGTGTGTGTGTTTGTGTAATTGTTCCCTGTCAGAGGTTTGTGTGTGCGTGTGTGTACTCAGAGTTGCAGTGCATGTGTTAGGGATTAAGAGATTCCCTCTCAGTGAGTTGTCTGCTCTTCAGGTTTGGCATCATGCTGCAGTCTGTCTCACAGCACCCAGCCAGCCAGCCCTCACTTCACCAGCCTCAAGGTGTGTGTGTGTTCCCCATGAGATTTGCAATGTGTGTGACTTTGGCATCATGATGTGGTGTTTATAAACAGCACGCTTACCCAAACCTCTCCATAAACCAGCATCTGGAGGTCAGAACCACAGATGTAGAACCAGATTACCCTATCCCCAAATCCTAACCAATAGGGGTAATCTTTACCAATACCCTTTTCTTCTCCCTCACTCCATCACTGCCAAGCGCCAATTCAATCAAAGGACTCCTTTACCTAAAACAGCCAGCAGCCAATTAAATCACAGGATTGCCTAACCAATCTCTGCAAGGAGCCAATCAGATTACAGAGCTCATCAAGCGCTGCCAGGAGCAATTCAGATCACAGGGCTTATTAAGCAGCGCTGCCAACAGCCAATGGGATGACAGGGTGTTGTGAGGTAAAGGAGTTTATTGCACATTCCCATCAGTGACAGGCTAGCCAGTGAACTAGATTAATCCAATGAAACCCTGGCACAGATTCAAGAAACCCCCACTGTAATACCTACCTAGGCTGCTTCATGCTAGAGAGATTATTTTACTATGCTGCAAGCAGGCAAAGTCAATCGGTATATGTGTAATGACAGAGTTCGATACACTGTCAAACTGAGAGATGTAAATTCATAGTAATATTTCCTTATCATACATGATGACTGTATGAGAAAGAGACAGAGAGATTAGTCTGTTTTGTTTCCTGTGTTCCACCACTGCAGTGATGTGTTCTCTGGCTTTCACTATCAGACAGGCAATCCACTGTGTAATACAGCATGTGTTACTGTGTACTAGTGTGTGTGTGTGTGTGTGTGTATATGCTAGCACCCAGAGCATCTGTTCGGAGCTCTCACTCACTAGCCTTATCAGTGTCTGTTGTACTGATGAGAGGACCACTGATACAAACACTTTATCTCCATTTCACAAGAGCTGACAATCTCTCTCTCAGACCCTCTCACAGGCTAAATGAATATGCCAAGTGGAAAGAGAATGCAACAGGTACTTGACTGATAAGCCATGAGCATGACAAATTAACTATTGACTAACCTGTCAGGACAGGAGTGGGTGTTATTGGAACCAGTGATACTAACTTACATACAGTAGCCTTCCATTTAATGTCACACCAACTCTCAATAAGATATGGACCAAACTCAATTGCCTTGAGAGCATTCTATTTGGGATATAATTCAAGCACTGGCTGTTATTATTGTCCAAATCTGAGCATTAATAGAGAACAAAATCACTGATCCTGATTTCATCTTGATTTAGAGAATGTATTTGTAGAGTAAGTAGTAAACCCTTGTTTCCTGCTACGCTCAGTTTCTTCTTTCTCCTCTTCCCTGTCATATCTCTCCCTCCTATTCTCTCACTTTTTACTGCTGTAGAAGTTAGCCACCCGAATCATGCCATTCTGTTTGGTGGTGTAAAGCACGAGAAACTTTAATGCATCGTTTTAGAACCATTTCATTCCGCTTACTATCACATCTATGATTATAACAACTACAGTATCTCTATCATCTGAGGGTGTATTCCCAATCGCCTTAAGCAGTGTTTGATAACGTAATCAACGCAATGATAGCCAATAGAATAAGGGTTAGGACATTTGAGAGGGTATTGACCGCCTTTGTAATGTAATGTCCCATCCACAGTACAGGTATACTGTGAATACTACAGGTATTTTCTCTCCCTGTAAGCCAATGAGATTACTGTACTATGCCTATATGGCTGAGAGAGAGAGAGAGAGAGAGAGAAGAGAGAGAGAAGAGAGAGAGATAGAGAGAAGAGAGAGATCGAGATAATCGAGATATAGCTAGCTACTCTCGTCCCCTCTCCTCTCGCCTCTCTCTCTCTCTCCTCCTTCAGAGCCTCTGAGACCGAGTTTCTCGCCTCTTTAGTAGAGTTTTTGTTTGTGTGTGTTTGTTGGTGTGTGTTAGTACTCTGACCAGGGCTCCTGCAGTCTGGTTAGGAATTGGTCTATCTGGTCCTGGGGGATCACTCCGTCCAGGTGGGCCAGGTAGGTGTACAGCCCTGCGAACGTATCAAAGGGGATCGTCGCCGCTCCACCCTCCTCACTCTTCGTCAGGATTTCACACGCATACCTCAGGGCACTGATGATGGTCTGAACACACACAGAAAAGTCAGCAAAGCCCTGGCCATCAAGACAGTGCAATACTGCTTTCATGTGGTACTTTTAAGAACTACACCACAGTTTCTCTCTGGAGACTGACTGACATTTGGGAGCCAGTCACTCACCCCTCACAAAGCGAAGAACTGCATCTAGTAGATGTTGGCGCTGAAGTTCCCCAGGGCCAGCAGTGTCCAGCTGCTCTGAGGGCTGACATAGACCCTTCTACTTCTGCTGCAGCTCCTCCATACTGATCGTCTCCTTAGGAATTGCCTAGAAACACACATGGAAAGAGAAGGGCGAACAGGGGTTCAATTAGCTTGGTTCCTCTCAAGGTTTCTAACTAAAATGTAAAATGTACCCTGGACAGTTATAATAGGGGCAAGCTAGAGTACCAAATAGGAGAGAGGAGGCCTGGTGTCATTCTGTGGGTTACTGAGTACCTGTTTGTGTAGGACCTTGAGCAGGCCTGGAGTTAGTCCGGTATCGGTCTTCTGTGTGGCGACAGGCCTCTCCAGCCCCTCCTTGGTTGGTAGACGGTCTCCTTTGGACAGGGTAGAGAAGTACCTGATATAACAATAACAGATACACTTTAACAAAACAATAATTTCATCTTACCCTGCTCAGATACTGGGCAGTTACACAGCCATTGTACTACCACCTGTACCATAAAAGCCCGGCTCTCTTGGTTGTATAGTCACATCCAGGGAGGCTGTACTTAACACTGCACTGCAAACCACTGTAGCTAGTACATCCCGAGGTTGGGTTCTGATGGCAGCTTTGGTGAACTGTTTGAGGATGTCTGGTAGTTAGTTCAGTGGGGGATGTTGATTTGCTGGGCACAGTACATAGTAGTATCTGGAGAAGGCATTGCTGGGAAATATAGTGGAAATGTTATTCAAGGTGTGATAATCAATATATTAGCTAGTTTAAATTGTATTAACTATACCCAGAGCACTGTCTTAGCTAGCTACTTTGAGCATACATAAAATATGGCTGACAAAGTCATGTCATCAGTTTAGTTACTAGCTACAAAGATTCTTACCTTAATACTGAATCGAATAACTTGCTCGGTGACAAAAAACTATAGATTAGTTGCTAAATTACATAAAAAGTTGATTTGGTTTAGGGACCGGACAACCTCATTTTCATTGCATAGTAACCCTAATTAATGTTTGCCGTCAACGTCACATAGTAAAAGTAAGTGTCGCTGATTGGACTAGAAAGATGACGTGATTTGCTGCAAAATATTTGTTCAACCGCCAGGTGGCATTGTAAACAAAGGCAAACAGCAGAGCATCTTTCCGAACACTTGATACATGGCCTCTGTCTGCTCATATGAGAAACATTTCAACAAAAACAGACATACAAAGGAAAACCATCATCAACATCAGGAATTTTATTATTAAATTGAAAATACAGGTTTACACTTATCAACTCAGATGAATAGAAAAGAGGATGACATCACGATTTAGTAACAGAGAGAATCAGAACAGACAACTGAAAAGCACAGACAGTAATATGCTCATGATCCACCCGCCCTAAAACAAGACCACAGTCTGACACACACACTCCATAAATTCACACTTGACAGGAAATGTACATACGTGTTTGTGTGTGTGCATATTTGGTGTGTTCTGGTACCCGTTCAGGTTCATACTTGTACAGAGGGCTGTGTGGGACATTCAGCACGGCCAAGTTCTGTCCCTTGCATGCATGCACACATCACACACAACAAACACTTACAAAGAGTATAAAAAAAACTCAACAAAAACAAAGCAATCATGATGAAACGATAATGAGGATGTTTAAAAAGAACGAAACACAGGTTATGAAACTTATCCAAATGTGCTGATCTGTTCCAACAGTTTTTTCTGCTAGTTATCTCTCTTCTCAGTCCCTCCACCCTGCTCCTACATCACCCCCCTCCCTCAAACCCTCTGCTCCCTGTCTTGATATAAAAATAGAGCTCTGGGACAGACTGTTACACCCCACCTCCCCTGGACAGCTCTAGAAGTCGCCCTTAGGCACAGGTCTAGAATAAACGTACCCTCCCCAAATCCATCTACATGGACTGTGACCCATTAACCCATTATACAACCTTGGACAGTTCTGGAAGTCACAGATCTAGGATCAGCTTACCCTCCCCAAATCCTGACCCATTCCATTTGCCCCGCCGGTGCTCTATCTCTTGCCCCTCTTGTTTCCCACCGGGGGCTTCTTGAGCTGCAGCAGTGGACCTCCCGTGCCGAAGCCTGTTGCGGGAGGGTTGGACACGCCAAACGTCAGGCCTGCAGACGCGTTGAGGCCGGGGTTACTGAAGTTAAACCCTGAACTACTGCTGCTACCAAAACCTGGAGAGAGGAAGATAGGAGGAACAGAAGAAAGAGAACATGAGTTATTAACATAATGTGTCTGCTCACAGGGAGTGTGTGTGAGTCTGCTCACAGGGAGTGTGTGTGAGTCTGCTCACAGGGAGTGTGCGTGTGTCTGATAAAACGCCCTCCAGAGAGCTTGCACAAGGAGGTAAGGTGTGTGTGTGTGTGTGTGAGTGTACCTGCACTCAGGCTCCCTCCCGAGGGCTTGCTGGCAGAAGAGAAACCAAATGAGGAGCCCCCCGTCGCTACCCCCCCGAAACCTGGACCCCCACCAAACACTGCAGGAGAGAGAGATTGAGGGAGCCAAGCTTTAGTAACACACACACACACACACACACACACACACACTATGCTGCTACTACGAGAGAGAGAGGAGGGAGCTTAGCTTCATGGACACACACACAGCTACTGCAAGAGTCAGAGAAAGCACAGTAGCTAAGCCTCTGTAATGACTCACTCACAAACATGGTATACTGAAAGTGGACTGTATCCAATGAAGAGAGTAAAGCATAGACACCCACGCCATACCACAGCTACAGGCAGACTGTTTCTGCCCTAGATAGTGAAGAGCTTAACTCACACCACATACATTCCTTACACTGCCCACCAGTCTTCCACACACACAAGGAGGGGGAGAAATGGGAGGTAGAGTGAGATCAACAGAGACAGTGAGAAAGATCCATAGTAGAGATGGATGGGGAAGAGAAAGAGAAGACTAGATGTAAAAAGAGAGAGGTTGTACCTCCGAGGCCTGAGGTGCCCAAGCTAGACCCCACTCCCAAGGCAAAGGGGTTTCCCAAGCCAGACCCCAGGGACGCCTGGCTCCCTGAGACAGAGAGAGCACACAGCTTACTCCTCTGGACTAGGGAGTGTCTGTTTGTGTGTGTTACTGAAGTCAAGTTCCCCCTCTCCTCTGCAACGTTCAGTGGTGATATAGGCTGCGTGTGTGAATAGAGCAACATCTCAGGACCCTGTGGATCAGTGGTTCTATATAACATTCCACCAGACTACACTAGTCTTCTAAGCACAACCTGTCTCACCCCAACACTAACCTTACTGCCACATCGAAGTTGTTCCCCTTGAGATAATCACTACACATTTCCACAAATACATAAGCGACTGTGGATTGATTTTCACAGATAAAATGGTCAAATAAATGTTACTGTGGTAGAAACATGTCTACTAGTTCCTTCACTCAGAACCTCAGTGCACCTGTATCGTTTCTCAAATTGGATTCTAGAGATGCAAACTCAGCTAGGTTTGTAGCTTTATCCAAATTGTAATCGTTAATTCTCTTAAATCCAATTGGGTGTTCAAAAAAAAAAAATCAGTAATTTACCACTCAAAAAGAAACAAACAAAGACAAGGTTGCTCCTTTAAAAACGCATTTATTGTCAATTTAAAGCAATTCCACTTCCATAAAACAGACACAGTTAAAGGACACAACCGATTGTTAATTCCTAGCGGCTATATTGCATTTCACAAGTTTTCCAAAACTATTCAAGATTCCAAGAGTGAAGGAACTAGCATGTGCCAGAAAAAATGCATCGCAAAATTATTACTATTAATATATGTCTAGTTTCAAAGGCACACAATATTATATAGTATCAGATATATGCATAATCGTCAACAACAAGCATTGGTTATATTTAGATTAAACACGCTGTTCTAAACAAAAGCACTCTGAATCAGTGTTCAGGGATGTGACACGTTCTGTACGTTAGAGATAGAAATGTAATGAATAGAGCTGATATGATTCCCTATTCTACATGACAGACAATCACATCTGTTTTACGCAACACATTTCTATCTGAACGTTCTGTAACGTCACACCCTCCTGAACAGGCCACAGAATTGGCATCTGTGTTTGATCCAGTAGGGAAAATACATTTCCCAGCCAATACCAGTGTTCTACATACATCCCAGCACATCGCTGGCTCCATCTAGCTATTCCTCTGAGTCTGAACACTGTCTGAGTGGACGGACAGTCTCTCAGCCAGTCACTCCAACCACAACTAGTCTTCTACTAGCAGTCTTCTGACCTCATAGAACCCCTCTTAAAGCCCCAAGACATTCATCATAGTCCTGTTAGCCAGCCCTGTCACACTAACAGGAGTCTGCTATCTAGAGCAGACCACGAGTTCCAGAACCAATCACAGAGTTCCAGAACTAATCTGTGTTCCAGTTCCACAACTACTTAGCTACTCATTCTAGAACAATCAAAGTTTCAGAGTGGTTCCGGAATGTTAGAGTGAGATGGCGGACAGACGGGTCAGTCCAGAGCAGCAGTTGGTTAATATTGGAGCACAAAATGGCCGACTCGGAATAGAGAAAAATACTGATTTTTGGCACTAATGATCCAACTGGCCTTCCCAAGGCAGTCGATACAAGCAGCAAGTTCACTCCATCTCTCCCCTGCTAAACTAGTGAGTGATGTAACACCGTATCCCTTCTATTAAATAGAATGGATTATGAAACTAAAGAGAACTAGGTTCCGTCTTACAGACAGACTGTTCTGTCTTACATCAGCCCCTCTGGCATCTATATCCTGGAATGAGGTAAACCTGCATGGTAGACCACCCGCCAGTGTTAAGTAGTGTGTGTAGGAAATACTGATAAATCACAATCATTATCTTAGTCAAAAGGTTATTGTAGAATGCATAGTGATGGATTCAAAGTGATATGGACTGTCAAGTAGAAGTGGGTGTCTTGTCTGTGTGTGTTTAGATTACTGTACAATGATCATTACCGGCTGAGGCAGTCAATGTCCTGTCTACAATGCAAATACACAGACAGACACATGCACACCTGGCCACTTCAGCAACCAGAGCCTGCTGTTATTGCTATTACAACTAAAGACGCTGCCGTGGTTACAAAAAGGAATGCATATCTTCAACGATCTTTCACTGAAATTAAAACACAAAACACCCTTTTGATCTATGACCTGCACAGTAAATGACAATATCGTCTTTAAACACTAGGCTATACACTGTCAGATAGTCAACTTTTTAAATGTAATCCTGAAATATAGCTGAAGCATGTCAATCAAAGACAAAATGACAGATGCTGAGAAAAAATACAGATGATGATTCATTACATACAACCTAGTTGGGAATGGAGATCAGGTGGTCTAAGGCTGGTGTGTGCGTGTGAGTGAGTGTGATTTAAGTGCTTATCAAGACTGCTACCACACAGTGAAAGCTACATTACTGCTTTATAAAAACACACAGACACAACTGTGCCCTAATCTAAACCAGTTTGTACAGGAAATTCCTAATTTAAAAAAAGGTTGAGACCCAATTTCCGAACTAAACCGATTTGGACACTTGCGTCCTAATCTCCAGACTAACTACCTAAGATATTTTATTCTCAATAAAATCAAAGCAGTTCAGCTTCACAAAAAAGCACCTTCATTAAATATAGATATTCAAGAACCCATTCAATATAAATTAAGAGACTGAACCCAAAGAGAATGCAGCCTCCTGGCATTCAAATAATTTTAGTCTAGAGTCTGTCTGGGACAGATTTGAGAGCTGTGAATGAATACCCAGAGATACGAGTCCTGCTTTCCAGTTTCATCTCCAGTGATCTGAGCACTCTACACCTTTTCATTAATCTTAGGTCCCATCCATTATTTTTCCCACTAGAGGAAGTGCTTCTCTTATGGCGGGGGAGAGAGAGAGAGAGAGGAGAAGAGAGAGGAGGGGGAAGAGAGGAGGGGAGGGGGAAGAGAGGAGGGGTGGAGAGAGGGAGAGATGAGGAGAAAAGCATAGAGCTGAGTAATGGCCCCTGCTAGGTTCATGAACAGGCATTTCCAACACTGCCTCAGAAAGATTGCTTTGGGTCCAATGCCCGTGAGGAAAGGGTCTTCTCACACGTATCAAGCAGAACCACTGGAGAAAGAAACTGAACACGGTTTGGAACTTACTATGTTGCTTTTACAATCTCCTCTTTCTCCTTCCCTCCATTTCTCTCCCTCTTTCCGGCGAAAGAAAAGACAAACTAAACAAAAAGTTTGTCACTGGCTACATTTTTATTCTGTCCCTCTTTCCTTCTCTCCCCCTACATCTCAGTATCTCTCCTCCCCCCTTCCTCTCTCAGACTGAGGGGTGGTAAGGTGAAAGGTCAAAAGGTGAGGGGGTCAGGGTTCTAGAACTTGAAGGCGGAGGTCAGACCTGGGCCGGGCTGCTGCTGCTGGCTCAGCGTGGCTGCCATGGCGACCGCCGCCGCATTGGGGACGCTGCTGAAGGGGGCGGGGCCGGTGGTGATGCGTGGGGCGCTCTGCCACGTCTTACTGGCCACCCTCTTGGACTCGAAGACGTCCGTGGAGTCCTCCAGGAAGGCCCGGCGGTACCCCAGGTACTGCTGCTTCAGGGTCTACAGATACCCAGAGGAAGAACCTTAATCACTTCATTCAAAACACTCAATCTTTATTTCTTGTAACAAGGTGATTTGTCATAGAACAGTCAACAGTGATGTCTGTAGGAATTACCTTGACGTTCTCGTGTACTGACTGGAGCTGAGCAGCCAGAGCCACAAACGTCTGGTACAACTTCTGCATGGCCAGTGAAAGATCTACACACACAATATCGAGTGAGACACAGAAACACATACATAAAGAGTATGAAGAAAGTCATGAGTCTGTGTGTATGTATGCATGTATTCTATGCATGTTACCCTGTGGTGTGATGTGTGATCCACTGCCCTGTGTAGTGAGGTGATTCTCCAGTTCCTCTATCTGCTGTCTGTACTGCTGCAGCTGGACCTCAAACTGTTCCACTAAACACCGGAAATAACTACACAGACAGAGAGAAAGAGACAGACAGGATTCAACTTATTGCGGGTAAAATGCAGTACAATCTATGTCGTTCCAAAAGCAAAAAGGGGTATGGTAAACGATATATTTACACAAAAGTATGTGTAAAACCCTTCAAATTAGTGGATTCAGCTATTTCAGCCACACCCATTGCTGACAGGTGTATTAACTCGAGCACACAGCCATGCAATCTCCATAGACAAAACATTGGCACTAGAATGGCCTTACTGAAGAGCTCAGTGACTTTCAACGTGACACCGTCATAGGATGCCACCTTTCCAACAAGTCAGTTAGTCAAATTTCTGCCCTGCTAGAGCTGCCCGTCAACTGTAAGTGCTGTTATTGTGAAGTGGAAACGTCAACGGCTCAGCCGCGAAGTGGTAGGCCACAAAAGCTCAGAACGGGACCGCCGACTGCTGAAGCGCGTAAACATTGTCTGTCGTCGGTTGCAACACTCACTACCGAGTTCCAAACTGCCTCTGAAAGCAATGTCAGCACAATAACTGTTCATCGGGAGCTTAATGTAAAGGGTTTCCATGGCCGACCAGCCGCACACAAGCCTAAGATCACCATGCGCAATGCCAAGCGTCGGCTGGAGTGGTGTAAAGCTCGCCGCCATTGGACTCTGGAGCAGTGGAAACGTGTTCTCTGGAGTGATGAATCACGCTTCACTATCTGGCAGTCCAACGGACGAATCTGGGTTTGTCGGAAGCCAGGAGAACGCTACCTGCCCCAATAACTAGTGCCAACTGTAAAGTTTGGCGGAGGAGGAAAAATGGTTTGGGCTGTTTTTCATGGTTCGGGCTAGGCCCCTTAGTTCCAGTGAAGGGAAATCTTAACGCTACAGCATACAATGACATTATAGACGATTCTATGCTTCCAACTTTGTGGCAACAGTTTGGGGAAGGCCCTTTCCTGTTTCAGCATGACAATGCTCCCGTGCACAAAGCGAGGTCCATACAGAAATGGTTTGTCGAGATCGGTGTGGAAGAACTTGTCTGGCCTGCACAGAGCCCTGACCTCAACCCCATCGAACACCTTTGGGATGAATTGGAACGCCGACTGTGAGCCAGGCCTAATCGCCAACATCAGTGCCCGACCTCACTAATGCTCTTGTGGCTGAATGGAAGCAAGTCCCCGCAGCAATGTTCCAACATCTAGTGGAAAGCCTTCCCAGAAGAGTGGAGGCTGATATAGCAGCAAAGGGGGGACCAACTCTATATTAATGCCCATGAATTATGAATGAGATAATCGACGAGCAGGTGTCCACATACTTTTGGTCATGTAGTGTAAGTTCAGGGGGATATAACAATGATGGTGATGGGAGCACTCACTCATAGGGAGCTGTGTTGTCGTGTTGGAGTCCAGGGGGAGTCTTCTGAGTCCGCAGAGCTATGTCTGCATTCTTCAACTCCTAGACGAGGAGGGAAAGAGAGAGAGAGGGACTATGATGTCCAGCAACAGTAAGGGCATGTGTATGTTGAGCCTTAATTCCTCAAAAGACAGTGTGACATCAGTGTGAGTGTGTACCTGTGCGGTCTCCATCTTCAGTTTGTCTATAGCCAGGGCGTTTCTCTGTAGTCCCGAGGCGCTGACAGACAGCAGCTGTTTGAGACTCTTGATGTCATCCTGAACCTTCAGCATGGCTTTAGAAGACATCCTGCTGATCTCCTCGTGAACTTGCTTTTGCTCCTTCACAAACTTCCTACAGGACGGAGAATTCACACATCAACGCAATGCATCTTCATGACCAAAGATGTGCAAACAGTACTGTTATAGCCACACACACACACTAACATGGGGTGTAGTTGAAGAAAAGTACTGCTTTACGTACTGGAAGTTGTCTACATCCTGACAGATGACTGGAGGCAAATGTTCATCTTTCAAAGCTTTACTGTCCCTGAGAGTGAGAGGAAAGAAAAATAAACAGGGACAAGAGTCAGATATACACTACCGGTCAAACGTTTTAGAACACCTACTCATTCAAGGGTTTTTCTTTATTTGTACTATTTTCTACATTGTAGAATAATAGTGAAGACATCAAAACTATGAAATAACACATATGGAATCATGTAGTAACCAAAAAAAGTGTTCAACAAATCAAAATATATTTTATATTCGAGATTCTTCAAATAGCCACCCTTTGCCTTGATGACAGCTTTGCACACTCTTGGCATTCTCTAAACCAGCTTCATGAGGTAGTCACCTGGAATGCATTTCAATTAACAGGTGTGCCTTGTTAAAAGTTAATTTGTGGAATTAATTTCCTTCTTAATTCATTTGAGCCAATCAGTTGTGTTGTGACAAGGTAGGGGGGGTATACAGAAGATAGCCCTATTTGGTAAAAGACCAAGTCCATATAATGGCAAGAACAACTCAAATAAGCAAATTGAAACGACAGTATTATTACTTTAAGACATGCAGGTCAGTCAACATGGACAATTTCAAGAACTTCGAAAGTTTCTTCAAGTGCAGTCGCAAAAATCATCAAGCGCTATGATGAAACTGGCTCTCATGAGGACCGCCACAGGAATGGAAGACCCAGAGTTACCTCTGCTGCAGAGGATAAGTTCATTAGAGTTACCAGCCTCAGTGGAAATTTGTCCGTTGGTCTAGAGTCCAAATTTGAGATGTTTTGTTCCAACTGCTGTGTCTTTGTGAGACGCGGTGTGGGTGAACGGATGATCTCTGCATGAATATTTCCCACCATAAAGCATGGAGGAGGAGGTATTATGGTGTGGGGGTGCTTTGCTGGTGACACTGTCTGTGATTTATTTAGAATTCAAGGCACACTTAACCAGCATGGCTACCACAGCATTCTGCAGCGATACGCCATCCCATCTGGTTTGGGCTTAGTGGGACTATCATTTGTTTTTCAACAGGACAATGACTCAACACACTTCCCGGCGGTGTAAGGGCTATTTTACCAAGAAGCACAGGGATGGAGTGCTGCATCAGATGACCTGGCCTCCACCAAATTGAGATGGTTTGGGATGAGTCGGAACGCAGAGTTAAGGAAAAGCAGCCAACAAGTGCTCAGCATATGTGGGAACTCCTTCAAGACTGTTGGAAAAGCATTCCAGGTGAAGCTGGTTGAGAGAATGCCAAGAGTGTGCAAAGCTGTCATCAAGGCAAAGGGTAGCTATTTGAAGAATCTCAAATATATTTTGATTTGTTTAACACTTTTTTGGTTACTACATGATTCCAAATGTGTTATTTCATAGTTTTGATGTCTTCACTATTATTCTACAATGTACAAAATAGTACAAATAAAGAAAAACCCTTCAATGAGTAGGTGATCTAAAACGTTTGACCGGAAGTGTATGACCTATTATGATGATCATAACAAACAATGGTTGGTCAAGAAATGACACTGTGGACTCTCATTGGTCCAGACGGTTGTCAGTCAGTGGGACTCACTGTGGGCTGGCCCCTGATGATTTGTCGCTTTTCTTCTCTGAGGAGGTGCTGAAGTCGACTCCACCCAGTCCAAGGCTGGGGGCCGCTGAGACCGCCGCGGAGGTAGAGACCAGGGAACCCAACGTCAACCCCCCTGATCCAAGAGTGGTCTGGCCCAAACCTGAAAACATACAAGCATTAACACAAACACACTGACACCCACAAACACACACAACCATGCAAATGTTAGTCTGACACCCATACAAACCTAACGCAAACCCCAGTCCTCCAAGAGTGGACTGGCCCAGACCTAAGATCAACACATAATCAAAAAGATGTTAGTCACTCACTCACTCACACACACACACACACACACACACACTATCCAACAGTGTAAGAAAGAGCAGAGACGGATCATTCACTACCTCCAAATAAGGATTGTAGTGAAAAGACAGAGATAAGAGCTAGAAATTGAAAAAGATAGAGGTATGATGAGAGACCCAGAGAGAGAGATGTATGTAATTAACTAACCAGTAGGAGCCATGCTAGAGAACAGAGAGAGATGTGTAGTTAACTAACCAGTAGTAGCCATGTTAGAGAACATACTGGAACCCAGCGATAGACCTGTGGATGGGGCTGTACTTGCAGCCACACCCCCTAGGTTGAGAGAGAATCCTGAGGCTCCTTGCTGTGGCGCGGTGGAGGTGAGGACGGAGCCTAGTGTCAGTCCTGCCCCTGTGGGGGCTGAGGAGGCTGCAGTGAGGGAGAAGGGTTGGGCCGAGGCAGAGGGTTTATTGAAGGCCATACTGAAGCCCGTGGTGGGGGCTGTAGAGGCTGCTGGGGCACCTGGGAGAGACAGCAGGTAGAGCAGGGTTAAAGCTAGACTCAACCATATGACATCTTCACCCACAGACATTAACAATAAATTAATCTGCCAAGACTGGCACTATTGTATCGTCATGTGAAGGCTCAGATTGGGATGAGCCAATGGTAGCAGTGGAAGTCTTGACTGATGTGTAGCTACATTGATGGAAAGCTCACCTAATGTAAGGCCTTGGGTGGGTACAACAGCTCCTGTAGCAAAACAAGAACACAACTCCATAACTACAATAATCACCTACACCTAAATCTATGTGGTGTCTGTATATTTATTTGTGCTTCGGGGTAGGAAACAACAAGCATGAGGCAGGTCTGCAGAGGGAGAGAGACCGACAGGCAATGTTGAAAACGTGTGTACCTACCTGAGGCAGGAGTGTTAAAGGAGAACCCCCCAGTAGGTTTCTGTGAGAACAGGGACCCCCCCAGCCCCAGAGAAGAGGTGGTGGTGGTGGTGGCTGGGGCTGTAGTGCCCAGAGCTCCACTCAGAGTAAACCCACCTGTACCTGCTGCAGCTGGGGTACTAGAGAAAGGAGTGAGAGAAAGAGAGGGGGAGATAGAGAAGTACAAAACATTACATGACTTTGCAGTATGCCTCACCATATTTACAGACGTATGCCACTGTCACAATTACAATGTATATCTGTTGAATACGAACAGTAACTAGCTATGACATAGAAATGGTAAGCCCGAAGTCTAAAACCCACATTGATTATAAACAATTACACACTTCTTTCTTTCTCTCCCTGCCTCACACCCACGAGAAACACAACAAGTAGTTGACACACCCATAATATATTAGCAGTTTGACACACTTACACCATAGAGCTGTTTGCATGATTACTTCTACATCGATATTTAGATAGCTAGTTAGTTAGTTGGCTACAATACATCCTGGGTAAACCGCACTGTATCGACATATCCGCGAGATAAAGTTAACGTACGTCAGCCGTGCAATTCTTACCTGGCAGCGGCTCCAAACGAAAACCCTCCGCCAGTGTTGGTGGAACCAATAGCCCCGGATCCGAAATTAAAGCCTGACATATTTTAACAGCAACAAACAACCACGTTTCTAGTTAATCAAACGTTATCTAACAGACTGTTCGCTAGCTGTCAGCTAGCAACTAGCTAGCTAGCTTTGAAAGATAAGAACGCCCGCGTGGAGGCCAGTGTGACTAACACTGTTGCTAAGAAATCATGGTAACGTGAAAGAAAATAAAAACAACATACTACTTATTTAAACTCACACGCTTAATACACCTTTACAGAGATCTGAAACGTAAGTAATCCGTTATGCATATAGTTAAACAGCACTAAAATGTTAACTTCCTTCTCAAAACTGTTTTTCTGAATCCGCGCTTTACCCCCAATGTATGTTTCGGTTATTGTGGCCTGCTGGGATACTGGAGGACTTGGCAGATTGGACGGTCATATGGGGACATCTAGCGGTTGCTATCATGTTGTTGAAGAAGTAAAAAGGTGTTTTGATTATTTGTCAGTTTGAGAACGGGTTTTAAATACATGCATGTGTCAGGATGGAAAGATTACAGAATATGTGGAAATAGTAATAGGTGGTGAAGTAATGCCTAACAAGAATATCCTCTACTCTGACTTGAATTCAATGACTGATTTGTGGGTTGAAACATGTCCCATAATGCCTGAAAGCTGTAGTACGTGGCAGAGGGTCAACCTACAAGGACATGGGGTGTCTCATCCTGTGAAAGGGATTTTACAGTCATGTTGGGAGCATGAGCGAAGACAGTTATTCCTGTAAATCCACCATGGCTACTCCCGCCTCCAGTAGTTGATCTAGAAGTGTTGGAGAGACTACAAAAAGATAGGGAGGGTGTTAATCCATCTGATTTCTTTAAGAGATGTCTGGATACTGTGTATCAGGATTTTGTGGCCATTTACACAGATGGTTCAAAAGATCCAAGGACAGGACGTACTGAGTTAGCATTTGTAGTGCAGGAATGTGGGGTGGAAGTCAGGAAACGTATTACAGATCATCTGGCTGTATATACAGCGGAGCTGATGGCCATACTGTTGGCCTTGCAGTGGGTGGAGGAAGTCAAACAAGACAGAGTAGTTATTTGCTCAGATTCATGTGCAGTGTTAATGAGTCTCCAGTCCTTTAGCTCACGTAGCAGACAAGACATGCTTTATGAGGTGCTACAAACCCATGGCAGGATTAAACAGATGGGTAAACAGATAAGATTTACTTGGGTCCCAGCCCATGTGGGGGTGGAGGGGAACGAGGCAGTAGATGAACTGGCTAAACAAGCACTTAGTAGTGGGGATGTTGACGTTGAAGTTTCAATGAGCAAGGCAGAGGCAAAAATACTGATATATACAGTGATGGTGCAGAGATGGCAGGAGCAGTGGAATAGAGATAATAAGGGAAGGCATTTATTTCAAGTACAGAGGAAAGTCGGGGAGGATGGCAGGAAGGGACAGAAGAGAGGAGGCTATTTTTACAAGATTAAGGGTGGGACACAGCCAGTTGAATAAGACATTAAATGTGATAGGAAAGCATCCAACAGAAAAGTATGATTATTGTCAGGAAACAGAGACCGTGGAGCATTTATTGCTACAGTGTGGGCAGTATCAGAGGGAAAGAGAGGATGAGATCTAGTATGAGGGAGAAGGGGATACAGGAAATTAGTTTAAAGAGTATATTGAGTAGAACGTCATTAGATATAGTCTCAAATATTTTGTTATCTTTTTTAAGAGCAATGGGGCTGGCAGGTAGGACTTCGTTTCTCCCTGTCTCTGGCCCACACTCCGGTACAGTAGGTGGCGGTAATGCACCATAACGTTGGATGCCAACCGCCGATAAACCCCACAGAAGAAGAAGTACGTGGCGGAGAGGTAGGTAGTACGCCCATTGACGTCGCCCAAGCGCGAAGCGATGTAGTGTAGTGGATTACAGTTTCCACTAGTTACCACAGCCACAAAGTCAAAATGGGCTATATCGTAGAAATTCTTGAAAACTAAAATTAGATTTTTGGTCTTAATTTAAGGTTAGTCATCAAGTTAGTAGTGTGGTTAAGGTTAGGTTTAAAATCACATTAAGAAGATACTTTTTAGAAATGGGCGGGGTTTATGACTTTGTGGCTGTGCTGACGACAGTGAACGACTGATAGCTAGCGAGCATCTACTGAAAAAAATACACAATCGTGAACGCTCAACTAATGTCGGTACCAAAGTAAAACAAGCGATCAAATAACGTCAGCTTGCTTCACCTTGATAATCGATGTGCGAGCCACATCACCTGCCAACCGGTTGAATCGTTGCATGCACTGACAGCTGTCAGCGAAATGGAACATATCCGAACGCCAAAGGTAAGAAAGCTAGCTAGCGCCATTCACGTCGCTGCTTTTTTTTTTTTTTACCACCCAGCAAAACATTTCAAATGCATGTAATGTAGCTAGCTAGTTAACTAGCTAACTATAATAACTTGCTATGAAATTACAACAACGTCTGGTGCGTTGACAATGGTGCCCCAAAAGCTAACGTTAGGCCTGCTAAATACAGGGCCAATTAGTTAGCTAACTTGTTAATATGCTCATTCTTGTTTTGGTTCCAAGAGAAGCGGATTCTGCTGCACGGCTGTATGAATGGCCATTTAGAATGGGCAAGTTGGCTCTCGCTTTGGGTGGTGATTTAGAACATGATAGAGCGAGAGACTCGGGGAAGCCACTGTGGACATAGCTAGCTAGATAAGACACTATCACATAATATAGGTGGCGACTGCCTTCTTGGTGTAGCCTACTCGGTTATCTTTTTCTGCCGCTTTGACAACAGACTGTCTGATGTGCTGTGTGCAAGTGACCTGTTTTTCTCGCTAGCTGCTTGTCCTCCTTGGCACAAACACGATATTAGATTTAGGAGACTAGCTGGATGTTTCCTGATAATGCATTTAGTGTGACAGATCATGGGGACACCACTACGTCAAAGGAGCAAAGTGGATTATTTTTTATTCATGCTATAGTCGCAGATAGAACAATGAGCTAGTTATACAATTATTCGATATAGTGAGTGACAGACGTCATCACAGCCACTGTTTTCTCAGAAGGCTCAAAGCTTTCATGTTGGTGGCACTGCAGTCAAAGGGTATTTCTGGTATAGCTTAAAAAGCCGGTTTGAAGAGCCACCTCAAAGTCCTTTTGTGTAATTTTGTTATCAGTGAAGTGCCGCCTGAAGGAGTGTGTCTGTGTAACTGACACTTGTAGTGTGTGTTTTTGTTTTGTTCATGTGAAAGAAAGGGTGTTACACATCTGCAGTATTTTAGGCTCTGCCCCCAGGACCCTGTTTGAACTCTTAATTTAAACATACAGACAGTCAACTCCTGATATTTGCAGTGGCCATGGGTGCACTAAACTGGATCATGCCAATATCCAAACCGGATCAGGGAAATAGGCCTAGGGACTGTGGAACTGCAATGCAGTTGGCAAACAGGACAGTCATCAGCTTGACTTAAGGCCCGTCAGCAACCTCTTCCTTCCTCCTCTGTGTGTGTGTGTGTGTCAGTCTACACACACACACACTCTTCAGTACGCTGCCAGGCCTTGACTGAGCTGACTGATCGCCATCCTGTGGAGTTGCCTAGCACCACACTGGTTGCTGGGAGACAGAGAGAGACTCTTTCAAATAGAGAGAATAGGCTAGCCTATTTGTTAATCACAGATTAGAAAAGTGCAGATGAAGTCTATTCAGTCAAGTGTTCTAAATGTCATTAAAGTGATAAAACCTACAGGGTGTGAAGACGAAGGTGAGAGTCAGTGAACCAGGAATGTGTCAAAACAACATCCAGTCAGGAAATGATCAACTCTGGTTCCACGGACTCGGTCAATGTTCTACTGACATTCATGCTGTGGCAGTCAGTATGTGGCAGTGTTAGTGAGGACATGGTAGTAGGGCAAAACCTTTTCACTACATGTGATCTGTGTGTTTTTGTGCTTGTTTGAGTGAACAAGGGAAAGAGAGGGGGGGAGAGGGAGAGAGGTAGTCCAAATATCTTTACATAATGTTGCTAGGAGACAGGTTTGACAGGTGTCACCGTAATCATAATTGTACCTGTGCAGGTGGAGCAGGTGCGTCTGTTGGACCGCTTCAGTAACAAGTCCACCAGCGGGACGCTGCACCTGACCGCCACACATCTCATCTTTGTGGAGAGCAATGCCGCTGCCACCAACACTGCACAGGAGATCTGGGTAAGGAGTACCTCTATACAGCACTCTAAATTCAGAATGTAGGACTTGCTTCAGCTAATCCCTGACACCCCATTAGTGTTCTTTAATGAGTAGGAATGAGGGAAGAGAGTAAGCTCTTATTAGGCCTACTTGACTTGATAAGCTGAATCAGGTGTGTTAGTTAGTGCTGGCTGAGCTGGAGTCTGTAACAGAAATCTGTAAACTGTGTAGCTCCAGGGCCAGGGTTGGAGTCAGATCTCTGGTTTATGGAGTTAGTCTACAGTGTGATTTTAACAAAGACACTGCTGCCAGGCTTCCTACACACTTCCTTCCTTCTCCTACTGCTGAGCACGGGGAAAAGTGTGTCTACATTTGGTAGCTAGCACTCAGTCAGAGAGTCTGAGTGTGTGTAGACAGGCAAAATGTGCCTCCAGGGCATAATACCGGGATATTCGGTAAATCCGGTACAGAACACAAGGTGCGCTATTCTACTCCGAAGGTTAGCAATGCTAACAAGTACATGTAAAATCCCATAGACAATGCTAACTAAATGTTAACGACGTCATTGGGAATATTTTATACAGTCTCTGACCTAAAGCATTTGCAGGACAGACATACCGCTCATAAAGGTATACAAGTAACTCCAAAATGCTACTCACAGTTTGCTGCACACACAAAACAAACATTAGACAGCAAGGCTCTTGATCCAGAGGGGATTCTTCTGTTACCAAGCTAACCACTTAATTAGATCGCTAACTAGCTACTAAATTAGCAAACCAAATGCACAACTGCAGAGCATTTAGCACATTTTTTGACAGTTAACTTAATAGTTACAGTGAGGGGAAAAAAGTACCCTGCTGATTTTGTAAGTTTGCCCACTGACAAAGAAATGATCAGTCTATAATTTTAATGGTAGGTTTATTTGAACAGTGAGAGACAGAATAACAACAAAAAAATCCAGAAAAACGCATGTAAAAAATGTTATAAATTGATTTGCATTTTAATGAGGGAAATAAGTATTTGACCCCTCTGCAAAACATGACTTAGTACTTGGTGGCAAAACCCTTGTTGGCAATCACAGAGGTCAGACGTTTCTTGTAGTTGGCCACCAGGTTTGCATGCATCTCAGGAGGGATTTTGTCCCACTCCTCTTTGCAGATCTTCTCCAAGTCATTAAGAGATCAGCATTTTAAGTGTTTCTTTCTTTCTTTCTTTCTTTCTTTCTTTCTTTCTTTCTTTATGTTTTGATGGTCATGAAAATGCTTTAATGAATTGTTAACCTCATTCACACACTCCTGGCAGATAGAAAGATGTGATGAGGTATGATGATTGCAATGAGCGTGTGTGTGTGTGAGTGCACGTTATCTCCCTGTGTTAAATGTTTGATAGATGGTGAATTTTTTTTTTTTCTGTACCTCTAGATTAAGATCACTTTATTTGTCAATTGTACCAAAGGTCCAACCGAAATTTGAATTCCGCTTTTATCCCAACCCCTCCGAAAGACACACATACAGTTGAAGTCGAAAGTTTACATACACTTAGGTTGGATTCATTAACTCGTTTTTTAACCACTCCACAAATTTCTTATTAAAAACTATAGTTTTGACAAGTCGGTTAGGACATCTACTTTGTGCATGACACAAGTAATTTTTCAAACAAATGTTTACAGACAGATTATTTCACTTATAATTCACTGTATCACAATTCCAGTGGGTCAGAAGTTTACATACACTAAATTGACGGTGCCTTTAAACAGCTTGGAAAATTCCAGAAATTGATGTCATGGCTTTAGAAGCTTCTGATAGGCTAATTGACATCATTTGACTCAATTGGAGGTGTACCTGTGGATGTATTTCAAGGCCTACCTTCAAACTCAGTGCCTCTTTGCTTGACATTTTGGGAAAATCAAAAGAAATCAGCCAAGATCCCAGAAAAAAAATTGTAGACCTCCACAAGTCTGGTTCATCCTTGGGAGCAATTTCCAAACGTTCATCTGTACAAACAATAGTACGCAAGTATAAACACCATGGGACCACGCAGCCATCATACCGCTCAGGAAGGAGACGTGTTCTGTCTCCTAGAGATTAACGTACCTTGGTGTGAAAAGTGCAAATAAATCCCAGAACAACAGCAAAGGACCTTGTGAAGATGCTGGAGGAAACAGGTACAAAAGTATCTATATCCACAGTAAAACGAGTCCTATATCGACAAAACCTGAAAGGCCGCTCAGCAAGGAAGAAGCCATTTCTGTGACATTTCACATTCTTAAAATAAAGTGGTGATCCTAACTGACCTAAGACAGGGAATTTTTACTAGGATTAAAGGTCAGGAATTGTGAAACTGAGCTTAAATATATTTGTCTAAGTTGTATGTAAACTTCCGACTTCAACTGTACATAAGTTGGAGCAGGGGGCTGCTACACTGGGCACCCGTGAAACAGTTGTTGTGGGAGTTTAAGTGCCTTGCTCAAGGGCACAAAGGCAGGCAATCGCATCTAGGATTTGATACCAGCGACTCTCCGGTTGCCAGCTCACTTCCCAACATATTTTCCCCGTCAGACCCGGGATTCAAACTGGCAACCTCCCGTTGCTGCCTCTTATCTCTAACCGCTAAGCTACCTGCTTCCCCTACAGTATGTCCTGTAGTGTCATATTAAGAAAATATGTCATGACTGTTTTGTGTTCCACTCCAGATCCTACACCACCACATAGCGTCAGTGGAGAAGCTGTCGTTGACCACCAGCGGTTGTCCTCTGGTCATCCAGTGTCGTAACTTCAGAGTGGTCCACTTTGTAGTCCAGAGAGAGAGAGACTGTCACGACGTCTACAGCTCACTGCTCAGATTGCTACGACCAGGTACCTACTGTACCTGTGTGTGTGTCTTTGAGTTAGGGCTGGGACGGTCATGGAATTTTGGTGATGGTTATTGGTCAGCCAAATGACCGTGGTCACTGTTATAATCGTTAGAATAGCATTTTTGTGTATTTTCTTTAAGACACACATTTTCTCCTCTCCTCCGCTCCTGACTGCATGTGCTGCTGCTGCAGGGAGGGGGTGTTGCCCAGGCAACCAAAGACTTGTTTGCTACACCACCTTGCTTGTTTCAGCAAAGAGCAACAGTTTCATCACATTGTAAAGAGTCTATGTTACTGCGGAATTGGACTCAACTGCAAGAATGCTCTGCTGTCCCGTCTTCAGTCAGCCGTTCGTTCCACCCCCCAAAAAACAAAAACAAAACAGTTATGACTGTTCTTTTATTTTCATGACAGTCTTCATTCATAATCGTCGGTTAGATGATTGAGCCCTACTTTGAGTGTGTGCAGGACGCTTGAGTCGAGTGAAGTTTCAAAAGAATGTTGACATTCTCTCCCTCTCTCTTCTCCGTCTCTCTCTCCATCTCTCCCACCCTAGTATCCTATGAGGAGCTCTATGCGTTCTCCTACAACCCCAAGCAGAACGAGCAGCAGCGAGAGGAGGGCTGGCAGCTCATCGATCTGGGGGCGGAGTTTGAGAGGATGGGCGTACCCTGCGACCGATGGCAGCTCACTGACGTCAACAGGGACTACAAGGTGGGCAGAGCATTCCAATAGGATTCAGGATGTAATGGAATAAGATTGGTTCAGTATTTGGCAACAATTACCATGATGCAATGTTTCCTGTTGTAGATATGTGAGACGTATCCCAGGGACCTGTATGTGCCCATTACAGCCAGTAAGCCCATCATCGTTGGCAGCTCCAAGTTCAGGAGCAAAGGACGCTTTCCTGTCCTCACATACTTCTACCAGGAGAAGAAGGTAACACCTTACCCCACCCTTACCTATCTTCATCTTAACGATTAACACATACCTTACCCAGCTTCATCCTAACCAAAACCGATCCTTTTTTTTTTTGAATTTTAATTGTTGGACATAAAAGACGATAAAAACACCAGGAAATCATCTCCAAGTGATTTTAATTTAAGTAATATGTTCCCAGGTATTCCCACACATAATATAGAGATAAATGATCGTAAACATACTTAAGGTTTGAAATGATTATGCGCTAGTCAAATATTATATCTGTTTGGGCTTCTTGCAGTCAATTTGCAGTCTACAAATTATTTGTAATTATGTTCCGGCCACCCGACCATCCGCTCAAGAGAAAATCTGTCTGCAGCTGAATCTAGTTGATGATCCCTGCCCTAACATTTTACCACTGATCCCAACAACAGTCATAATCTAAACCTAACCTGTACCTTTACCTCTACCATTTCACCCCAATGCAATATTCCTAACCTAACAAGTCTCTGTAAATCGTCAGGTTAGGTATATGTGGCCTAATCCGTGTGCTCTGTGCTCGTCCCTGTCCCCTGCAGGCAGCAGTATGTCGGTGCAGCCAGCCTCTCTCTGGGTTCAGTGCACGATGCCTGGAGGACGAGAGCATGTTGCAGGCCATCAGCAAAGCCAATCACAACAGCCGATTTGTCTATGTCATGGATACCAGGCCCAAGGTACCCAATCACAACACAGTGAGCTAGCTCTTCCCACAGAATGTGGACATTCTCAGTCCCTTCCTTCTCTTTCTTTTTCTATCTGTTTATCTCCCTCCCTCTCTCCAGTTGAATGCCATGGCTAACAGAGCAGCAGGTAAAGGCTATGAGAATGAAGATAACTACTCCAACATCCGCTTCCAGTTTGTGGGCATTGAGAACATCCACGTGATGAGGACCAGCCTACAGAAACTACTGGAAGGTCAGACGGGCACACTCACTCACTCACACATGTACATCACACATGTACATCACACATGCACTATTTACTTCTCTCCCTCCATCTCTCTCAGTGGTGGGAAGTCGTTTTCTGTCAGTGAATGACTACCTGCTGGGCTTGGAGAGCTGTGGTTGGCTACGGCACGTCAAAGCTGTGGTAGATGCAGCCATCTTCCTCACCAAGGTAAGGCCATGTCCCTTCTCCAATCCCTTTCTGCTTTCTACTTCAGTATAGTCACAATGTGATTGCAGACAGTTAGGGGTATGAACGTTTTAAACGTTAAAACAAAATTGGGATCCTTAACGTTTCAAGAAAAATCCCAAACCGAAAAACAATGTAGCAGTGCAGTTATCACAACATTATTTTCCATGTTATAGCCTAACTAGACGATAGGCTATAAAGGTCTGGGGAAAGTTGTGTCATTTAAATAAAACCAGAGAGGAAGAGGCGAACTTGAGCCTACCCCCTCCTCTCTCCCTCACGCTGGCTCGCCTGGGGCGTATTCATTCCGCGGATTCTGTTGCAAAATGTTTCTTAAACGGACAAAACGGGGAGAGACCTACCTGCATTTGTCCATAGAATCTCTCGTTTTAGTTGCAAAACACTTCGCTTCATTTGACCTAATGATCATAACACCGAGTGTGTCTTCGGTCTGTTGCGTGCAGAATATCCTAGCCTATTCATTGATAATAGGCCCTGCTTTACTGAAGTTGCGAGACATTGCAAGGAAAGAAATTGTGAGATACAGCATTCCATTGCGAGATACAGCTTTTGATTGTCGATAGATACAGTGGGGAAGAAAAGTATTTAGTCAGCCACCTATTGTGCAAGTTCTCCCACTTAAAAAGATGAGAGAGGCCTGTAATTTTCATCATAGGTACACGTCAACTATGACAGACAAATTGAGAATATTCTTTCCAGAAAATGACATTGTAGGATTTTTAATGAATTTATTTGCAAATTATGGTGGAAAATAAGTATTTGGTCACCTACAAACAAGCAAGATTTCTGGCTCTCACAGACCTGTAACTTCTTCTTTAAGAGGCTCCTCTGTCCTCCACTCGTTACCTGTATTAATGGCACCTGTTTGAACTTGTTATCAGTATAAAAGACACCTGTCCACAACCTCAAACAGTCACACTATAAACTCCACTATGGCCAAGACCAAAGAGCTGTCAAAGGACACCAGAAACAAAATTGTAGACCTGCACCAGGCTGGGAAGACTGAATCTGCAATAGGTAAGCAGCTTGGTTTGAAGAAATCAACTGTGGGAGCAATTATTAGGAAATGGAAGACATACAAGACCACTGATAATCTCCCTCGATCTGGGGCTCCACGCAAGATCTCACCCCGTGGGGTCAAAATGATCACAAGAACGGTGAGCAAAAATCCCAGAACCACATGGGGGGACCTAGTGAATGACCTGCAGAGAGCTGGGACCAAAGTAACAAAGCCTACCATCAGTAACACACTACGCCGTCAGGGACTCAAATCCTGCAGTGCCAGACGTGTCCCCCTGCTTAAGCCAGTACATGTCCAGGCCCGTCTGAAGTTTGCTAGAGTGCATTTGGATGATCCAGAAGAGGATTGGGAGAATGTCATATGGTCAGATGAAACCAAAATATAACTTTTTGGTAAAAACTCAACTCGTCGTGTTTGGAGGACAAAGAATGCTGAGTTGCATCCAAAGAACACCATACCTACTGTGAAGCATGGGGGTGGAAACATCATGCTTTGGGGCTGTTTTTCTGCAAAGGGACCAGGACGACTGATCCGTGTAAAGGAAAGAATGAATGGGGCCATGTATCGTGAGATTTTGAGTGAAAACCTCCTTCCATCAGCAAGGGCATTGAAGATGAAACGTGGCTGGGTCTTTCAGCATGACAATGATCCCAAACACACAGCCCGGGCAACGAAGGAGTGGCTTCGTAAGAAGCATTTCAAGGTCCTGGAGTGGCCTAGCCAGTCTCCAGATCTCAACCCCATAGAACATCTTTGGAGGGAGTTGAAAGTCTGTGTTGCCCAGCGACAGCCCCAAAACATCACTGCTCTAGAGGATATATGCATGGAGGAATGGGCCAAAATACCAGCAACAGTGCGTGAAAACCTTGTGAAGACTTACAGAAAACGTTTGACCTGTGTCATTGCCAACAAAGGGTATATAACAAAGTATTGAGAAACTTTTGTTATTGACCAAATACTTATTTTCCACCATAATTTGCAAATAAATTCATTAAAAATCCTACAATGTGATTTTCTGGATTTCTTTTCCTCATTTTGTCTGTCATAGTTGACGTGTACCTATGATGAAAATTACAGGCCTCTCTCATCTTTTTAATGTGGGAGAACTTGCACAATTGGTGGCTGACTAAATACTTTTTTTCCCCACTGTAGGCCTAGTGTACGGTTCTGACTGTCTGCCTGGTGGCAGACCTGCCTATACTGATAGATGGGTCTAGTGCACAGTTCTGACTGTCTGCTTGGTGGCAGACCTGCCTATACTGATAGATGGGTCTAGTGCATGGTTCTGACTGTCTGCCTGGTGGCAGACCTGCCTATACTGATAGATGGGTCTAGTGCATGGTTCTGACTGTCTGCTTGGTGGCAGACCTGCCTATACTGTGCCCCTCCCCTCTCTCTCCGTCCCTCGCTAGCTCGCTATGAAAAAGTGTTTGTGTTCTCGGAAGTACGGCAACTAATCAGTCTCCTCCGTTCCAAGCGGAGTTGATTCCAAGCGGAATCTAATCTTGACATTCATAAATGGGAGTCGACGCCGGGAGTCGACGTGCAAGGAGTCGAGGAATCAATTATTTTGGAGTCGACTCTCCACCACTACGTCACTGTCGGTAACAGTTGGAAAAATGTCAGAGAAAGGCAAGTGACAGCAGTGAATGGTCCTGTATGGCAATACTTTAAGAAGTTAAATGAGAAGGAAATGCACATTTTGCAAGGTGGAATTGAGGTACAGAAATGTTAGTACCATTTGCTTAACCATCTGAAAGGGACGCACCTTGACACCCAAACCGTTGCTGGCAGCCGTGCAGCTGGAATTTTATGAAATTCTTAGTGTTTTAATGGTAAAAAATATTTTGCAGTTTAAATGGTGAATTTTTTTCCCCATTTGTCACATCCCTACAGACAGTCATGTCTAAAGCAGACTTCACCCAACAACTGTTAGGGCGGCAGGTAGCCTAGCACTTAGAGCATTGGGGCAGTAACTGAAAGGTCGCTGGTTTGACTACCCGAGCCGAAAAATCTGTCTGTGCCCTTGAGCAAGGCACTTAAATCCTAATTTGCTTCAGGGGTGACATACTTCCATGGTTGACCCTGTAAAACAACACATTTCACTGCACCTTTCCGGTGTGTGTGACAATAAAAACATTATTTACAAGTTATAATAATAGCAATGGCAGCGATTTAACTTCAGTCCCCCTCCTCCATAGGCAGTGACAGTAGAAGGAGCCAGTGTGCTGGTCCACTGTTCAGACGGCTGGGATCGGACAGCCCAAGTCTGCTCTCTGGGAGCCCTGCTCATGGACCCCTACTACCGCACCATCAAAGGCTTCATGGTAAGGCTGTGTGTGTGTACTACCGCACCATCAAAAGGCTTCATGGTAGGACACAACACAACTTCCCTATGCCTGTAGACATACGTAGAGGAAAGGAAACTCTGCTCTCTCTGTGTTTCAGGTCCTCATAGAGAAAGACTGGATCTCATTTGGACACAAGTTTGCAGACAGGTGTGACCAGTTGGATGGAGACCCCAAGGAGGTGTCCCCCGTCTTCACACAGTTCCTGGAGTGTGTGTGGCAGCTCACCGAGCAGTTTCCCCAGGTGTGTCTGCGCGCATCTGCGTGTTTCCACTATACTCACCACATAGCAGCCATTACAGTGGAAGACTGAGGATTGATTGTGAGGATGATGACAGTGATGATACCTACTCTTCCTTAGGCATTTGAGTTCAGTGAGTGGCTGCTGCTGCAGATCCATGAACATGTTCACTCCTGTCAGTACGGAAACTTCCTGGCTAACAACCAGAGACTGAGAGAAGAGCTGCAGTGAGTAAAACACAAACATGCACGCTTTCCATCTCTCTCCCTCTCACTCACTCGATCTTCTCTCTCTCTCCTGCCAGACTTAGAGACAGAACTCACTCTCTGTGGGCGTTTCTGTTGAGTGAGCAGCAGAACTACCTAAACCCCGCCTACTGCCCCGCTTATGCAGAGACACACCCCGTCCTCGAACCCTCCACCCTGCCCTGCCACTTCAAGTAAGAACTAGTCCTTTACCTCATCTCTCTCTCTCTCTCTCCTCTCCACCCCTCATCCACTCTACTCTAAGATTTACTCATATCTTTTCTCTATCCTTTCCTCATCTTCCTAATCTCTATTTCACGCCACACTGCCCTTTCCCACCTGGACAAAAGGAACACTTAGGTGAGAGTGCTGTTCATTGACTACAGCTCTGCGTTCAACACCATAGTGACCTCCAAGCTCATCACTAAGCTAAGGACCCTGGTATTAAACACCTCCCTCTGCAACAACACATCCGCCACGCTGACCCTCAACACAGGGGCCCCTCTGGGATACGTGCTTAGTCCCCTCCTGTTCACCCATGACTGCGTGGCCGCGCACGACTCCAACACCATCATTAAGTCTGCAGACGGTGGTAGGCCTGATCACCGACGACGATGAGACAGCCTATAGGGAGGAGGTCAGAGACCTGGCAGTGTGGTGCCAGGACAACAACCTCTCCCTCAACGTGAGTAAGACAAAGGAGCTGATCGTGGACTACAGGAAATGGAGGGCCGAGCACTCCCCCATCCACATCGACAGGGCTGTTGTGGAGCAGGTCTAGAGCTTCAAGTTCCTTGGTGTCCACATCACAAAGGAACTATCATGGTCCACACATCAACACAGTCTTGAAGAGGGCACGACAACGCCTCTTCCCCCTCAGGAGGCTGAAAAGATTTGGCATGGGCCTTCAGATCCTCAAAAGGTTCTACAGCTGCACCATCAAGAGCATCCTGACTGGCTGTATCACCGCTTGGTATGGCAACTGCTCGGCCTCCGACCGCAAGGAACTACAGAGGGTAGTGCGTACGGCCCAGTACATCACTGGGGCCAAGCTCCCTGCCATCCAGGACCTCTATACCAGGCGGTGTCAGAGGAAGACCCTAAAAATTGTCAAAGACTTCAGCCACCCAAGTCATGGACTGTTCTCTCTGCTACCGCACGGCAAGAGGTACCAATGCACCAAGTCTGGAACTAACAGGACCCTGAACAGCTTCTTCCCCCAAGCAATAAGACCGCTAAATAGTTAACCAATAGCTATCTGGAATATCTGTATCAACCCTTTTTGCACTATTTTCTTTTGACTCATCACATACGCTGCTGTTACTGTTTTATTATCTATCCTGTTGCCTAGTCCCTTTATCTCTACCTATATGTACATATCTACCTCAATTACCTCATACCACTGCACATCGTCTCGGTACTGGTACCCCGTGTATATAGCCAAGTTATCGTTACTCATTGTGTATTTCTTTATTGTGTTATTATTTTTCTATATTTACAAAAAATAAACGTTAAAAATAAATAAATTCTCTGCATTGTTTGGAAGGTTCCGTAATTAAGCATTTCACTGTTAGTTTACACCTGTTGTTTACGAAACGTGACAAATACAATTTTATTTTGATCTCTCTCTCTCTCCTCATCCTCTCCGTCCCTCTATCTCTCATCAACCCTACCCTGTTATTCCTTCTTTTCCCTAATTCTCTGTGTGTGTCAGGTTTTGGAGGAATATGTACCACCAGTTTGATCGGTCCATGCACCCCCGTCAGTCTGTCCTGAAGAATGTTCTCACCTTGAAGGAGAGCAACTGCCAACTGGAAGACACAATAAAAGAACTGGAGGCTGTGAGTACTTCTCTCTTGCTGGGGACTGGGTTGATGGGTTGTGTTGAGGGCTACTATCCTTTTTCTGTCCTTTAATTTTGTTTCTTGCTTATTTTCTTTTATTTATTATCTTTTTCCATGGTGCAGGGTTAACGCATTGTTTATTTATTGGGGGGGGAGTAGGTGAAGTTGGTTTGGGGGTTGGGCATCATGGTGGTCTCAGCCAAGCGGAGAAGAAGCGGGGAGGGAGGGAGGGAGGTATAGATGGGCAAAATGAGCAGAGGCAGGTTGCTATAGCAACGGAGACTCTGATGGTGGAGGAGGTGAGTAGTGGGTCTGTGGGGAACGGCAAGCATGCTGGTGGGGCTGAGGAAGCTGCCACACAGAAGAAGAAAAGAGGGGGGCTGGGCATGGTGGGCTCAACTGTCATTGGGGAGGACGGGAGGTGCAGGGTGGGCAGACGGGGGAGGACATTACCGTGCCAATGGAGGAGGAAGAGGGGGGTGAGTCAGAGGGAAAGGAGGACGAGGAGGCCTTGTTTTCAGACTGCTTAATGGATCCAGAGCTGTCAGGCGGAGGGCCCTATACATACGGTCTAGCTTCCTGAGGGAGACTAAAGGGGAAAAGAAGGTTCCGCTGGAGTGTTGTTTTCCTGCTTCTGAAAGGTTTGTAAGGTCAGTACAACACGTGATGAAGAATGAGGGGTTTAGTGTCCTCACCCAGGAAGCAGTATAGGCTAAGAAATTGGGTCACATCGGTGTGTAAGGGCATGTCTACAGACTCTGTGTAAATGGATAGGTATTTTCTGGCACGGCGGCTTTATGGGCTTCTCTACTGGTTTCTGATTGTGGTGTTTTCCCCCCCACCTGGATATTTTACAGTAAGGCTCCCTTAACATGAACACGGCAGAGACTGGGGGGAGAGGAGCATGTAAAACAAAACAAAACATTTTTTTTACAAGAGACACGCAGTGATGTGAAGATTGAAGTGGATTGGGGGTCTGGTGGAAGGGGGCGCAGGTGCTGATCTATACATTCAAGAATCTGGGCAATAGGCTAGTGAGGGCCTCCATTCTCCCAGTTGGGTTTTCAGACCACCATATCAAATGAAATCAAATGTTATTTGTCACATGTGCCGAATACAACAGGTGTAGACCTTACCGTGAAATGCTTACTTAGAAGTCCTTAACCAACAATGCAGATCAAGAAATAGAGTTAATGTAAATAGTCCGGATGGCTATTTGATTCATTGCTCAGCAGTCTTATGGCTTGGGGGAAGAAGCTGTTAAGGAGCCTTTTGGTCCTAGACTTGGCGCTCCGGTACCGCTTGCCGTGCAGTAGCAGAGAGAACAGTCTATGACTTGGGTGACTAGAGTGTTATTGAGCCATATTGCCATGGCTCAGTTCTCTGTTTCACCAGGGCCCTGCCAGGTGTCCTATTGGAAATTAAATGTAAAGCTCTTACAAGATGCCACTTTTTGCTCAAGCTTCCAAGGCTTTTGGGAGAGGTGGGGACAGCAGAAATGGGAGTTTGAGTCTCTCAGTCAGTGGTAGGATGTAGGAAAAGCCCAGATTGGGGTTTTCAGTCAGCAGTATACAGCTTTTTCCTCTTCAGAGTCCAGGAGAGTACTTGGGGAGGTTGGTGCGGCAGGGTAGGGTGGGGGCTGCAAGATAATCTATCTCAACTACACTGGGACATGGGGCTCCTTATCTGATCAAAGCGAAAGGAGCACTGGTAAGAGCCTGATTTTCCATGTTGAGAGAGATGGATGCTCACAGCTCTTTCTTCTTTGGGTTGGAAAAACAGAGTGGGGAAACCAAGAAAATCCATTGTTTACGTTGTCTGATGGGCAATGAGGGAGATGTTCTCAAACCCCCCCCCCCCCCCCCCCCCCCCAGCGCAAGCTCATGGACGCAAGATTTGGAGAGCAGGCTGACTCAAAGCAGCACAGAGGCTACTATAGCACACTGATGTTAGCTGGTGGGAACCAGCATGTGCTCTGTTGAGGAGGGCTGGAGGGTACCAGCATGTGCTCTGTTGAGGAGGGCTGGAGGGAACCAGCATGTGTTCTGTTGAGGAGGGCTGGAGGGAACCAGCATGTGTTCTGTTGAGGAGGGCTGGAGGGAAGCAGCATGTGCTCTGTTGAGGAGGGCTGGAGGGAAGCAGCATGTGCTCTGTTGAGGAGGGCTGGAGGGTAACCAGCATGTGCTCTGTTGAGGAGGGCTGGAGGGAACCAGCATGTGTTCTGTTGAGGAGGGCTGGAGGGAACCAGCATGTGTTCTGTTGAGGAGGGCTGGAGGGAAGCAGCATGTGCTCTGTTGAGGAGGGCTGGAGGTTAAAACCCCTCTAGAGTTGGCACAACAGGCTGGACTAACGTCTCTTAAGTTGCTGGAGAGAGTCATGGGGAGGTCCAGGAGGCTCTGCCTGAGCCAGTGAGGAGGGGGCTGGAGCAGCCTCTGGAGGAGGGGCCACCACTGTTTCCACCACTGCAAGTGACAGCAGAGACTGGGGACTGGCAGGAGGGTCCAGAGAATGTACTGACATTTAGCACTCTGAGCCTGTGGGAGTTTGCGGAGGTGGGGGGTAAGGTACTGTACACCCTCAGTGCCAAGGTTGGGCCCATCAGGAGCTTACTCGGAGTGAAGGGGCATCAGTGGCAGGGAGTTGTGGGGTCCGAGAGCATGGTAGGGTATAGGTTTGAGGGTGCTCTATAAACTCCCAGTGCCAAAAAGGTCAGAGGACCTCCAGTGGAGGGTATTACATGGAGCCCTTGCCACCAATAGCTATAGGGTTGACCCGGAGTTGGGGAGGGGTATCCGTTTTGTGCAGTGACTGAGACTGTTCATCATGTTTTTTCTGTGTGTGCCAGGATAATGCTGTTACTGTCTTTTGTGATGGGGCTGAGCTATTCAAGTAGTGAAAAGGTAAAATGTGTTTTGCTGAACTGTTTGTTTGGCCAGGCCAAGTTGGCCATATGGCTAACTAGGACGAACCGGGCCTTAGGTTTGAATTTAATAAAATGATTAACTGTGGCAACGTTTCAGGAGGTATGGTGGCTCAGGGGGCTGTCTGTATGGCTGGAGAGGAGGGGTTAGCGGTACGGTTGTAATGGGGTGGATTGTATTGAAACAACACATGACATCAGTCAGCACAACAGGATTCCTAAATCAACAGGTGATTGTGTGGAGGTAGTGGTGGTACGCAATGTGTGTTTATGGGTGGGGTTCTCTCTCCCTCTTTCTCTCGTTACTAAATCTAACCATATGTGTCCTCCTCTGTGTTCCTCCAGAGGCTACAGAAGCATGGCATCAGCCCCCCCACCCCGGACCCCCAGGCCCCCCCTAGAGACCAACGCACCCTCCCCACACGCCCCCACTCCCTCATCCTGGGAGCCCCCCTCAGCCGGAAGGAGGTGCAGCGACAGCAGGAGGAGGAGGAGGTGGGAGAGGAGGTGACAGAGTGCTGCAGTGACACAGAGCGGACAGTAGAGGGCAGCAGCGGTACAGAGCGCAAGGAGAGCTACGGCGACCTGCAGGGGACATACGGGGCCAAGGCCGAGCCAGCTGTGGTCAGCCTGGAGTTTGGAGTGGCCCGCATGACCTGCTGAGGCATTGTGGGATACTGGAGGAGGAGGGGTGATTGGACTGGAATGGAGGGAGGAGGGATGGAAAGAGGGTGAGAGATGGGGTCACTAAAGGATGAGTGAGTGTGTGAGTGTGTGTGTGTGTGTGCCTGCGTGCGTGCGTTTGTGTGTGTTGGTGTGAATGTGTGTAGGTGTGAAAGCGTGTGTGTGTTGTGTTTAGCCTATTCCTATGTAGGCAGATGAAGGGGTACTATGTCTGTATTGTAAATCTTTGTGGAAAGCGGCATTTACTGCACTTAAAGTCTTGTTTTTATGAATGTTGAAAAGCACTAAAGAGAATAAATGACTATGAATCATGAAGATCTGCGTGTTCTGTCTGCCTATGTTATTCAACTCAATACAACTGTATTTGTGAAAACAGGACAGTTCCAGTTTCAGACATCATCAGACTATCTGCTCTGATCTCTTGATGTTCAAACCATCAGATGTTCCCCTTAATCCAACATCTAGCCGATTTCGTTATGAACATCCCATATTTAATGTTCTCAATATTGAGATCCTCCAAACAGGGCAATGGCCAGGTACAGATTTTAGTTCTGAAATGTCTCAATCTTCCGTCAAAACCAGAACATATTTGGATAATCCTGTTTTAACATGTGGAATTGCACTGAAATCAGATAATTTGGCCTTCAAACTGTTCCATCTTCCGAGATGGCATGATTCCACTGTAATGAATGATGGATGCTGAAAGCCGATTTCACTTCCTCATGTCCAAATCCAATGTTCATCCGTGGACATGGCATTGATGAGATAATCCTATTGGCTCCCTTGGATTGATCAGATAATCCAATTGGTTACCTTTGTCTGACTGGATAAGGTCATGACCCCATTTTCAAGGTCATTGCTATAGTTACTCTGGGGTCATAGAACATTGGAGGGGTCATAGAACATTGGAGGGGTCACACGGGGTCAGCAGGAGAGCAAGGAGGCTGTGTGTGAGAGACGGGAAGAGCTTGTCAGTCCATCAGAGGAGACCGTAGAGTAGGGGTGTCGACTCATTCCATGGAGGGCTTAGTGTCTGCTGGTTTTTCCTTTCAAATAAGACCTAGACAACTCTGTGAAGGGAGTTTCTTACTAATTAGTGACCTTAATTCTTGTAGTACAAGGGAGGAGCGAAAACCTGCAGACACTCGGCCCTCCATGGAATGAGTTGGACACGTGCAGTAGAGCCTCTGACCAGATTATCGCAATCTTTCAGACAATTCTTCATGTTACATTGGTGAGAACAGCCATAGCTGGCATCCAGCAGGTGGTCGCTATAACACACTGTCACGACAGCAAGCAATAGAACAGTCACCCGTTGCTTTTAGCTGTTCGTAATCATGGTGTGTCTGAGCTGGCCACTAGAACTAGGCCCTCCTTCATTCCCCTTGGGCCAGCGGGACCAGTGTAGCCTCACTACAGTGTATAATGTAATCCCACTACAGCCCATGCCGAGAGGTCAGGACATTGCTGTCCCCCAGCAGTGTAAAAGGGTGAGGATTAGACTGTCTGGAATGGGCTTATACAATTTGACCTAAACCATTTCTCTCTGATCCCTCACACACACTGAAAAGCACACAGTGTACAGATGGTATTACGTGTGTGTGGACATACATTGTGAGATTTGTCTGTTGAAAGTAACTGGTGGCGGGGGGTAAAGCACTTGCTCCTAAATTCTTTATGAATGTACCCTGCATGGGCAGTGAACTAGTTACACCAGCTCTCTACAAACCTCCATGAAGACACTGTACCAATGTACTTTACCAGGCCTTTTATTCCTAGCCTGGGTACGTGATTGTCTCTGTTTTCACCAATACATTGTTGCTACTCTATCCTCGCGTCAGCTTTCTGTAAAGACCAGCTGAAGCGCTGTAGCCTGAGACAAGAAGGTCCTTGTTCTAAAGGAGCTCTTGAGGACACTGTTACTGTACATACACCCACGAACACTACGTCAAGAGTGTCTGCTGAAGGGTTGGATTGCATAGACAAGACATCGCTCTTCCCCCCCCCACACTTCTCTCTCCCTCTACATAGTGAACTGTGCTTCCGTAAGACATTTCATCCCGTTGCACTTTAACTTGCATTAAACATTAACAGGTCTTTTACACGACATGGTTCCCCTACCGTCTCTCAGAGCGCTCCAACATTCTGCTATGTTCTACACCCTAGACAGCCATGCATGCACGTCCACATGTCCACACACACCTACACACACACTCCATATACACTACATGGCCAAATGTGGACACCTGCTCGTCGAACATCTCATTCCAAAATCATGGGCATTAGTTTTTTTTGATTGCTTAAGCACGATTTTCAAAACAGGGCCCGTGTTTTCAAAACACTACACACAATTAGCAAAACACTACAGATCCTTTGCAAAATTAAACACTCTTGTAAAAACTATACACTTCTTTTTAAAAACCACACTTTGTTACCATATGAAACACACACGTTTCACATTACTATACTCTGTTTGCACGAGTTACACTCTGCTGTGATAAACCTAAAACACTTTTAGCACTTCTACTTCCCTATGATTAGAGTAGGCTACTCTCAACAAAGTACAAATATAATGTAAATTCACCAAACACTACACAAGACCAATGTTGCAGACTGAAGAAACTCATTTATTTCTCAACACGCCCAAAATGTTGACATGGAGATTCATAATACTGTAACCAAACGTCACTTTAGGTATTGTAAGTTCAAAAAAAATTAAAAAAAATAACTAGACATTGTCTCTTCGCCTAGCTGGATCTGGCCAGAGAATTTCATCACCATCGCAGGCAATGTTGTCATTAGCAAGACACCTTGGAAAGAAACGTCTTGAATGACGAATCCATCCTTGCATTGCTGCTACCTCCATCTGGTCACAGGCCTCCTCCATGGCTTGGATGAGGGGTACCTCAGCCTGGAGACGGAGATCATATACCTTCCACCGCCATGCCGAGAAAAACTCTTCTATAGGGTTGAGGAATGGAGAGTATGGTGGAAGATATAGGACGGTGAAATGTGGATGTTGCTGAAACCAGTTCTGAACCAGAGCAGAGCGGTGGAAAGACACATTGTCCCAGACAACAATGTATTGCATATGATCGATTTGATTTGCTGCTGTTATGTTGTGCAATTGGTCCAAGAATGTAAGTATGAGTGCTGTGTTGTAAGGGCCCATATGGGCATGGCGGTGGAGGACCCCATTCTGTGTAATGGCTGCACAGAGTGTTATATTACCCCCACGTTGCCCTGGGACATTAACTATAGCCCTGTGGCCAATGATGTTTCTTCCCCTCCTTCGTGTTCTCGTCAGGTTGAACCCAGCCTCATCTACGTAAATGAACTCATGCTGGATCTCCTCTCCATCCATTCGTAAAACTCTCTGAAAAACAGTGTCAGGTAAAATTGTGTAGTTCAGTGTAGATCTAGTATACATATTACAGTACAGTAAAAGATTATGAGACAGTATGCAAGATCACACTGCTAAAGTGAATACATACCTCTGCATAATCATGCCGCAGTCGTTTCACCCTTTCGGAATTGCGCTCGAAAGGCACTCGATAAATTTGTTTCATTTGAATATGTTTTTTTTTTAGGATGCGTGCCAGTGTTGATGTTGAGACCTGATGGATATCGTTGAAAATGGCGTGGTTATTGACAATGTTAGCTTGGAGCTGCTTGAGTGTTATAGCATTGTTGGCCAAAACCATGTTTACTATCTCCCTCTCTTGCTGTTCTGTGAACATAGGAGGCCTTCCCCCTTGTCGTCCCTGACCCTCAATCCTATGTAGAAAAAAAAACAGTATACAATAGTACAGTAATTTCACAGGAAAAGGTAACAGAAGTGCTGATAGTGCATAGAATATAGTACTGTAAGCAGTTACTGAAACCGTGCAGATGTTTTTGATATGATGATATTTTTACAATACCTATTTTCCAGTCGAAATGTTCTCATCACACTTGCCACTGTATATCGGCTTAGATTTGGCTGTACTCGCAGTCCAGCCTCCCTCAGCGTCAGGCCGTGGTTGACAATGTGGTCAACCAGTGTTGCGCGGATCTCATTTGTCAGATTCGGTCCTCTTTGAGCACCTTCTTGTCTTCCTCTTCCTCTTCCTCTTCCTCCCCTTCCTCCTCCTCCTCGTTCTCCTCGTCCTCCTCGTCCTCCTCCTCCTCGTTCTCCTCCTCGTTCTCCTCGTCCTCCTCGTCCTCCTCCTCGTCGTCGTCGTCCTCCTCCTCCTCCTCCTCCTCCTCCTCCTCCTCCTCCTCCTCGTCTTACTCTTTCTCTGACTCTTTCCATTGTGCTTGAAGACCGATGAACTCACCTGCTGCTTTTTATAGTGCTTATACACCTGATTGGTGTGTCTACAATTAAGCAAACGAGTGTTTGCACACCTGATGACTGTGTTGAACCAATTGGTTGGACGGTGTGGTAATTTGACAGTCAGTGCTTTGGTATTGCAAGGACGTGACTTCATGATAGATTTTTGTGTGTAATGTATGTTAAGTGTGTTTAGTGTTTTGCAAATCACTGTGTGTAGAGTTTTGCAACAAGTGTAAGGTTGACAATGTGCTTATAGCTGTGCAAATATGGGCTGATGTTTTGCTTCTTGAGTGTAAGGTTTTGCTAATAGTGTACTACTTTTAATTTTAGTGTGTAAGCAATCCAAAAAAACTGTAATATGGAGTTGGTCCCCCCTTTGCTGCTACAACAGCCTCCACTCTTACATTTACATTAACATTTTAGTCATTTAGCAGACGCTCTTATCCAGAGCGACTTACTCTTCTGGGAAGGCTTTCCATTAGACGTTGGAACCTTGCTCCGGTGACTTGCTTCCATTCAGCCACAAGAGCATCAATGAGGTTGGTCACTGATGTTTGGGCGATTAGGCCTGGCTCGCAGTCAGCGTTCCAATTCATCCCAAAGGTGTTAAATGGGGTTGAGGTCAGGGCTCTGTGCAGGCCAGACAAATTCTTCCACACCG